TTATAATTATTATTATTATTATTATTATTATTATTATTATTATTATTATTATTATTATTATTATTATTATTATTATTATTATTATTATTATAATAATAATTATTATTACTTTAAGATTGATTCATGTAAATCAGTTAAATGCCCAAAATTGGGGCCTGGAACCCAGGCTAATTCTTCCCATTCCAGAAATGAAACATTCCTCTAATTGTACTGTACAAGTTATGTTTTAGAAAGAAGTAATTTATGCATGTTTTTAACATGCAAAATATCTATGGTCATAACTAACAGTGCATACTATACAGTACTAGTGCAGGCCTATTTATATACACTATTAAACCAGCTCCTCTTTTTCCATCTTTATTTTAGAAGTTAAAGTTTTTTTTAACCATATTGTGGTGTAGAGAAGTCTTTTAGGAACATTTCCAGAAAAAATAAATGTGATATGATTCTCCATTACAGTGTTATGATCAAGAATTTAACCTCAAAGCTTATCTTATATCTTATTCTTGTGGGTTACGACCACTGGCTTGGGCTGTTCCATCATCACTTCAACATGTCTACCAATTTGTGGTAAAGCCATAAAAGTGGTTTTGCCTATTATATTTATAGCCTCACAGCCTGACCTAAAAATTATGTTAGCATAGTTCATTTATATTCTTCATTAGTGTCAGTAATAAGAAAATGCATACACTAAATTTAAAATAGAAAATTAAACTGAAAATAAGATGGGCTATAATAAAACAAAGAAACAATACAAAACGTGTAATGAAAAGCCTAAGACAAATGACAAGATTGGGTGGAGTTAATTAAGGCATGGTAAACCAAGCCAAAGCCAAGTAAGATAGATCTGATAATATAATAATATGATAGAAGGCCTAATAATAATTAAATTAAGTAAAATAAATACATGTATATATATATATACGTATATACATGTATATATATATGTATATATGTATATACATGTATATATATGTATATATGTATATACATGTATATATATGTATATATGTATATACATGTATATATATATATATGTATATACATATATATATATATGTATATACGTATATATATGTATATATACTTATATATACGTATATATATGTATATATACGTATGTTATAATGTATATATGTATGTATATATATATATATGTGTGTGTATATATATATATATATGTAAATGAATATAAAGTTGTCAGTTCAGGCAACGTATAGTGCTCGATGCAGAGCGGTATAATAATAATAATACTAATAATAAGGAACTTGTAATTTCACTCTACAGGCTGTTTCATGTACTAGGCAATCTTCAGGAGTGAAGGGAATTTCAATGATGTGTATATGTAGAGTTGGGCCGGTGTAGATGCAAATTAGGTATTATGTGTTTTTGAGTAGGAATTTGGCACGGTGTCTGCATTTTGAAAGGAGTTTGTGCCTTTTGTTCAAAGTAGATTGTTTGTCTGCATAAATTATATGAAACTTTTCTGCATTGCATAGATTGCATCACTTTGTTTTGGGTGAGTAGGATGAGGGTCTATCAATAATGGACCATTTGATATTGTATTGTGTTTTGCTGTCTTTTAGTTTCCATATGAACTTTGAAAGTTCTGTGCTGTTTCTGTGTTTTGGTGCATTGAATGTGTGCCTATGATTTGTATATCGGGTTTTAAATGCGGTATCTGTGAGCCCGATGTAATGCTTTGATTCTTCGTTTGTTGTGATTGTAGCTCTATAAATAATTGAGGAGGTGAGGCAGTTTCCCGAGAGTGGGCAATCTTCTTTAATCCGACAGTTGCATAGTTTGGTCGGTACTTGTTATTTGGTGTGGAGAAGGTGGTTGTTGTGGGCTTTGATGGTGCTGCCCATGTTTCTTGTGCAACTGTAGCTAACTTTTACGTTGTTCTTGGTGAACAATTTGTGCAAATATATAGCCCTATGCTTATTTATTGTTAAGGATAGGCCTAATTTTTTACTGCAATATGCATAATACTGTATATGAATTAAAGATTATTTTTAAAATAAAATTTATGTTAAAATAATAAAATGATAAAAACGAATATGAAATTGTCAAAGGGCGGCTCATCTAAGATTCTTCTTGCTGCTGGGTTTGTCTTGGTTGTATTCCCATATTTTAGATTAATTAAGCTGTCACCTAGACTCAAGGCTCGACCACGTTCATAACCTTCAAAGGCTTCATCATCAGGTACAGTATTGCTGGACAAATATTTCAGGATATCGATGCCAAATCAATGTTTTTCTCTTGCTGTGTTGCACCATTTCACTCTTCCCCAATAAATATCGATCTCATCTCTTAATCTTTTACGTTGTTTTCCCTTGTTCGTTTTGCCATCCATGGGGTCTGTTACTGTTTGTATTTGTTTGTACTCCTGCTGACTACAAGTTCAACAACCAGAATGAAAACCACTGAGCCAAACAGCATTTTTACCATTATTGTTATTAATATTAATAATAATAATATTGATTTTAATATTATTTTATTTATTTGTATTCATTCCCTTCCCCATTAGCTTGGCCAGGCCTTTCTACTACTGCCGCCAGTGTGTGGCTATTTTTTATGGGCCTATAAAACATGGGTACCGTACGATATCTCGATAATAGCTAGCCTAAACCTAACCCTTTTCAGCATAAGGCACCGTATTTTTCGACATTAAATGTGGAATACCCTGGCTCTACTACTTGGCTGGTAGTAGGCCCCAGGTTGTGTCGTCAGTTTCTGTGGTTATTTTTTATGGGATTGTCGTTGCATAGGTCTACGTACGTAGGTACGACAATAAAGCCTAATATACTTTTTTTATGATAATTTAATTACAATTTCCCCTGACGAACATTGATGAACTGGTAAAGATACCCAAAATAGATGCTTTCGACCCGCACCAGTTCTCATTATTTTCCATCCATAACATAATATAGTTTTCCCGTTTCTATTTTATACCCTCTTCGCAGCCACTTTTTGGTTCCTGAGATGTCTTCACAGCCGCTATTTGGTTCATGAGACATCTTTTAGCTAACTGTGCATGCTCAACATGGCTCGATAACGTCACTTACTCAATGCACATGCTCACTGGCTGTCTAGCATTTCGAAGCGCTTGCTCACTTTATTATCCACCTCAACCACTATGGTTGAGACTGAGGTAAACAGTTACAAAAGCTACCATATCCACCAGGGTTGGCTTAGGTGAGAACATTTTAAGAATTTGAGACTTTTAAGTTTTAGATGCCGGAAAATGACACTTAATACATAAAATCTAGGAAAATTACTATATTCACCTGAGCCCCATCATGGTTGAGGCTGAGGTGAGAAAATATTAAGAATTGGATTTCTAGATACCGAAAAATGGTACTTATATATTTAACATAAATTTTTCTTGCCTGCCACTGGTCAAAGGTTTCACTCCTCAGGTTATTAAATTATTTATAAAATATTCATTCCCACTTTTTGTCAGTCATCGTCATTTTATATCCTTTATTCAAAACAATATTTCAATATGCTCCCAATTCTAACACTTACTAAAACAATTCAAGACTCATTAAATCTCGCACACTTCAAAACCAAGTGAAAAGAACAGAATATCAATCACAGTAAAATTTGCCTTTTGTTGATTCAAATCAATGTTTTTATTTGTAAAATAATTGTTTTATTATTAATTAATTAATCAATTAATGATTTAATTAATAGTTTTGTAGTGAAGATACCTGATGTTTAGTTAAGTTAAAATTTTCCTAGCTTTTATTCACTCTGTAAATGCTTTCATTTTATATTTTCCACCCAGAAAATATGGTACACCATCCATCAAATATTAAGTACCACACGAGTCAGCAATTTTATCCTTCTGACATATTCACACTACTTCTTGAGCTTAATGGGACAGACTACAGCCGGATGATGGCTTGAAGAGTGTGAAAAGGAGACATACTTGGAATTCAGCCGGTAAGCAATTGCAAACACTTTCAGTTTTTTTTTAATTCTTTATTCATCAAAAAATGAAAATGCATATTAAAAGATAATCAGTTTTATACCATTAAATGCTGTGTAATTGATTTAGTACCTTTCGACCATACAAAAGTCTGTCGAAATTCATTGTCTTAGTCACAAAAATGTACAAATACAGCATATAACTTGCTCCGCAGCAAAAATTTGTTTTTGCCAGCACGTTTTTTTGCAAGTTAATTTTAGGAACAAAACCACATTTGCAGACAAAAATGATGTTTTGAAAATATTTATACACCTGAAATATCAGCATGCATGTTTTGTTTGATATTTTAAAGTGCCGCTATGTTGCCCATGATATTTATTCCATCAATGTTTAAAAATACTTTATGAATACATTTTAATGCAATTAGGATGTTCTATTAACCTTTCAGAGGCATGACATACTATTGATGCAAATTGATTGTCAAGGCTATTGCATGCATTTAATAACCCTGGTTCTCAAACTTTTTCAAGTGGTGACCCATTTTTATTTCAAGCCAATCTAAGACCATTACATAGCAATAGGATTTGAGTCCACACCCACCTAGTGGCGTGTCTTGAAGTGGTGATGGGTGGGAGGCTGCGAAGGTGAAATGGGGGTGGCTCGATGAACAGTTGAGGAGTGCTAACTCGCCAAATACGGTGATTTTAGGTGACTTTTAAATACTTGACCGTGACTTTTTTGGGAGGAGTGCGAGTATTTTTTTGGAAGGGCATGATATGCCACTGCACCATATGCCACTGCATTCACCATGGTAATTTTAAACATGATAAATGACACCTAGATGCCCAAAACTGGCTTCATGCAGTTTGAAGTGACTGAATTTGACAATTACAAATTCCACATTTTTTGCAAAATTTTGAGAGAAATTGGTGTATACTGCAAAAATCTATTTGTATATTTTGGTTTCGGCAGAGAGTTCCTGCAAAAAAGAAGTGAAATTGAAAAAGGGGCCGAAGATAGAAATTCACATCTTCCAGAAATTTCTAAAATTGAATAACAATGTGAATTTGGGCTTAGGTTATTGGTTTTTGAACAAATTACAAATTCCACATTTTTTGCAAAATTTTGAGAGAAATTGGTGTATACTGCAAACATCCATTTGTATATTTTGGTTTCGGCAGAGAATTCCTGCAAAAAAGAAGTGAAATTAAAAAAGGGGCTGAAGATAGAAATTCACACCTTTCAGAAATTCCTAAAATGTAATAACAATGTGAACTTGGGCTTGGGTTATTGGTGTTTGAACAACAATTCATAGTCTCCAACAATGCAAGTCCAGCTCGCCTATGCTCATGACCATTTAAACAAACTATGGGGATGGGATAATAAATGGTCATCACTCAGGTATTCTAGAACCAGCAATTAGTATTAGAAGACAAAAATTTATAATACACCAACTACCAATGTCCAGTTCTTCAAAGTTTCATTTCTTTGGTCAGAGGTCTTGTGACCCTCAGAAAAGTTTGGGCCGCTACCCATTGTTTGAGAACCCAGGGTTTCATAATAATATTATTTACCTGTATATCTATTTTAAATTGTATTTTATTTTATATTACAGTAAATAATTGTATTTTATTTGATATTAGTAGAGTTATTTATGTACAGTAGCTTTAAATGGCCTATTGTGTCTCAATTCATTCATTTGTAATAGGCCTCTTGATTGCTAAAGCCAACAAATATCACATAAAACTGAGAAAAGTCTGTTTCTAAATCAGTGTATACATGAAATATATAAAAAATATTTACATATTGACGTAATCATTAAGTCACAATACATTTCTTGAAGGTTTGCATGGTGAATTGACATTAATAGTTAATCATAAAAAGCTTTTGGTTCACTATGTGGCATATAATACTACAAATTTAATTGATGGTATTTGGTTCTGAGATAAACCATTTGGACTGTAATGTCCCAATGTTTGGATTTAAGAAAATCATCTTTATGAATGATTAAGAACTGTATGGATGCCCTAATAAAGCTGATTAAGCATTTGCTGTGATACGGATGTTGATCGCTTTGTTTGGTTGTGCTGCTGTTCCCGTAGCTGTTCCGGCCGGGTTGACTGGGGGTAGATGGTCATAGTTTAAACAAGGATAACCAAATATCACTGATTTCCAAAGCTCTGTCCTGGGGTGCTGTCATTCAGTAGTTAAATATGTTAATGTTGTTGGCTTTGTGATTTGCAACTGCTACTCTTCTTGGTCTATCACAGATTGCAGTGATTCCACATGGAAAATCTACTCCATCATCTTCAATATCTATTTGTTTTATGAAGCCACCATCTTTATCAAATAATTGTAATTTATGATTAAATGATGATACTAATATATTTTCATCAAAATCAATGGTTACAGCAAGAGGTTCTGAAACTTCAATGCTATCATCATCAACTTCAGAAGAATTGGAATCAGATACAAATAATGGTTTACTATTACGCCTACACTTAATAGCAAGATTTGACTTCACTCGTTTAGGTTCAAGGATTCTAATAAACTTATCATTAGTATCAAATAATTGTATTCTTTTATTTCCAGTGTCAGAAACGAACACATGACCTTTCTTATTTAAAGCGACATGTATTGGTTGCAGCATTTGGCCTACTCTACTACCCATTGAACCTATCTTGCCCAGCAGTCTACCATCATCAACATTAAATTTATAAATACAGTGAGCATCATAATCTACTACATACAGAACCCTGGTTACCTTGTTTACAGTTAAACCCTTTGGAATTTTTAACATTCCTTTACCAAATGAACGAATTTTTTGAAATTTATCATCACACATTACAACACATTTTTCTAAGCTGTCACCATACAACATTTGACCATTACCCACTGGATGCATTGTGTAGACCTTTACATCTTGTGGTACCGGAACCTCTATCCTAGCAACAAATGAACCTGATTGGTCGAACTTCAATATATCTTTACTATTGCTTGATACTAATATACATCCATCTGTATCTAATGCTACATCTGTCACTCTTTCTGTTTTGTTATGTTCTTTATAATCTGATATGTTATCAATGGTATGAACAAGTCCCAATGTCTCCACCTTGATATTCACTGGAGATCCTTTGATGTGTGCAACTCCAGCTGTTATCTTCATTTGCCAATCACCTTCCAAATTGCAACTACCTGTTATTTTGTACTCTTCCCTTCCCTGGTATTCTACCTCGGTTTCTAATTCTTCGTCTGAGTTTATTAAAAGTGCTTCTAATTTGTATTCATCACTTTCTGCCAGACTACATACTTCCACTACAAATGATTGTCCTTTTGTGACACTAATTTCTTTACCACCTTCAGCAACTTTGTAAATGCCATTAGCAGTTGTGATTTTACCGATGCCTTCCGTGTTCATCAAGTCATCCATATGTGTAGATGGAATGAAATTTGGTATAATACTTTCTTTATGAAATAATTTTTGAAAATCAGTACCTAGGACTTCTTCTCTAACAGCATTGATAATTGTCTTATAGCATCCAATATTTTGTCTTTGTTCTGGTTTGTTCAACACTGAATTGATTAAAGATATCACATTATTCACTTGCTTCAGCCTTAAATCAATATCTTTAACTTCAGTATTATTATTTTTGTTCATTTGTTTGTGTATCTCATCAATGTTTGACATTAAGTCTTTGCTTTTCTCTTGAACTTTTTTGATCAGTTTCTTCTCCTGAATTCCAATGGCTATTCTGCATAAGTTTAGTTGGGAATCATGTACTGATCTGCCTTTAGCAATAAATTCTAGTCTCTCTGTTAATATATTTTCAACTTCATTAGCTAGCTTGACAACTTCACTGGCTTCTTTGTTAAACTCATCTACAGCTGTTGACATTAGCATAACTTTGTGTTCTTTTTGGTAACAGTGGTTGGTTTGTTCACATTTCTTGCATGCTGATTTGTTGCAAGTGGAGCAGTAAAATTCCAGTGTGGTGTTGCAATGAGCTGGGCATTTTGTGTGTATGTTTAAGCTGTTATCCTGTTCCTCCATGATATCCAGTGTGTAAAGTGTATGATCCTTAGTTGAAGGTACTGCCTTGTGTTGTTTGAGACATTGAGCTCCACATAGATACAGTTGACATGTTGAGCAGTGGTATGCTGGTTGGTTGTCACAGAAAGAGCAGTTAGTTGGTTTTTGATCCTCTGTTTTCATAACATACTCTAGTAAATTACTTGTCATTGTATTTGAAGTGAGCTGTTTTACATCTTCATTTGTTAAACCATGTTCTTGTCCACATATTGGGCATTTCATCTTCCCATGAGTTTCTACCTCTTTCTGGATACACTGTAGACAATAGGTGTGCATGCATTTCAGTGTCTTTGGTTGGTGAAACCTGCTGAGGCAGATGGCACACTCGAGATCTTTTTTATCCATAAACTGCAATGCTTCCAATACAGACATCTGTAAAGACATTATAAATAAATGATATGTAGTGTAATCATGCCAAATACCAAATATCAAAAATCATTGTAAATTAATTAGTCAGACTGTATACCTGATTCACATGTAGAAAAATGTAGCAAAATATAACAAATTCTTACATTTACCCGTGAATGCACATTTATGTAAAACAAATGTAACATCCCTGTAATAGCTTAGTAATCTTTACCTGTAAAGATTACCGAGATGTTACATGGCTATGATTTCGCACGCGAATCATTTAAAAGGAAAAAAAACCATTCTAGTCTAGCCCTATTTATCACTAGTTAACTAGTGACATTATAACGTTAGTATCCATAATTGATTGGTAATTATTTGGTAATTGATGAAAAGAGAAGAAAATTAAATAACATCGTGATTCTGATATTGTTAGAATAGTTAATTAAGCGACGTCTGAAACGTCTATGCTGAATGTTTAGAAAATTTGCAGCAATGATGGTATGTGATACAGCCTAGCTAGGCTAGACCTTAGTGTTAGGAACTGTGTTTGCTTCTGGAATCTGAACACTCGATTATTACAGAGATTTGGGCATGATTTCATTGACCTCTGAACATGGGGTCAGACACAAAAAGTGTGCGTTTTTAGCTTTATGCGGTATAGTAAGATGCACCGATAATAGGTTTTGGATGTGAGTTTGTTTTAGAATTTTTTACAAATTAATTGTTGAAATATTGAATCCCGACACGATGGCGTACATTTCGATACTTGGTGTATGTATTATACTATCTTATCTGAGATTAATCAGTGTACCTTACAGTACATCATCCTAATCCAAATCGCAACTATGGATCCATTTGGGGCGGTTCCAGAGATGTCAAAATGGAGTGGGGGAGGAGATCGACGCCGGGGGAATCCTCAGCTCCGTCACCCTTTTAGGAAGTTAAAAACGGGGAAAAAACTGATCACCCAAAAGGCCTCAGAGGTTACATTTGAGCGTCTGTTGAGAAAACAAATATAAAATATAAAGTAAAGCAAATAAAATTTGTTTTTGTTTAAAGCTTAAACAAAGTTGAATTTTTTTTTTTAATCAAAACCATAGACGAGAGGTGACTGCCATGGCATGTGTTTGACCTAAAAATAGCCAGTCTAATTTTATCATCTGACCTACTTCACTCTTTGCAGTATTGCGCCCACACATTGCTTCACCCTAAAGAGTACCGTGGGAACCTGTTTGTTGGCATTTCTTTCCGATTTCTATAGTTAGTTTCCATGCAACAATAGGCCTTGTGAGTGAAATTTCCAGCTTACTTAATATCAAAAGAAGCCTGAAACAGCCAGTAACAGTGTAGGCCTATACATTTTATTTAAACTATATTTTATTATTTCTATTTATTTGTGTATTTTATAAGCATGCCTAATCAACATATGTATCGACAATGGAAATAAAACAAACAAGAAGATACAAACCATGTGTCCGCTTCACCTCAACATAATTGTGGAAAACGTTTCTTTCCTCAAATTATACTATAGTTAATAATTTCTTTAGTTAATTTCTATGCAATGAGTGATTTTGTTAGCCTTATGAATACAATAATATATTTGCTTTATTTTCATTATCTTGTTGAAAAACACAAGGTCACCGTTGAAAAAAGCATAAATGGATGGATGAATACAGAGATGACAAACAGATGGGCAGATACAGTAGTAGGGTCCTTTAAACTTCAGCCGTCGTCTCTTGAGTTGGGACTCATTCGAAAGTCACTTGGAGAACACTGTGACTGCTGGACTAAAATCGAAGCGAGTGGACACTGTGATTGTCCCAAATGGATGCACTAAGTACACCCAGGCCCCAGACGTGTCATGGAATAAGCCATTCAAGCAACATTGTTCACAAAGTTATGAGAAATGGCTTGAAGTTAAAGGTACAGTATTGGCTTTATAATCAGACACAAGGAGGAAACCTGAAACAACCTTCAAGAGAAGTTGTCTTAAACTGGATAATTGAAGGATGGGCACTCGTTTCAGTGGAAGTAATTAAGAATTCATTCAAGATTTGTGGGCTGAATCTCGCAGTTGACAGTTCAGAGGACCATTTGATCCACTGCTTCAAGGAAGACCAACCGTGTTGTGATGGACGAGCATTGTTCAAAAGACATCTCGAGCTAATGGAAAGCAAGGCCAATGGATTAAACCCATTTGAAAATATTTCAGAGAGCAGCTAGCTCAGTCGGTTAATCTGGTGGTAGCCGCTGTGTGCGCTGAACCGTGGAGATATCTAGGTCCCCGGTTCAATTCCCATCACTGCCTCTTCTTGTGTTTCAGCTAGATGCTGAAATACAAGTTATGATAGCGCATCGCCTTTTTGGATGAGATGTTTAAGCCGTTGGTCCTGTGTGTGTTATGGCCCAAGTGCACGTTAAAGGATGCAGTACACTCTTCAGAAAAGAGTAGGGGATTGTCTCCCGGTGTACTGCCCAATCACCAACAGAAGGACCCCACTGGAAATAAGTCTTCTTCTAGACTTTCATGGGCTATCCTTGGTGTTTACACCGAATAAATCCAATCCAATCCAACCAGATGACGAGGAGGAGGTACATCTTGATCCTGACATCGATGAGGATGACCATAAGGAAATTGATATTGATTAAACTACGGTACTCTCTAGTAGTGGCTTCAAATAATGTAGATAATACTCCACTACATTTATCTGATTGGACATTTTAACACATACAGTTAAAAGTATAGGTACTTTACCGGTTGTAATTTTCATTAAAACAAACTCGTAAAGAGTGATAGTTCAATAAATGTTTTGATTGTTTTCATTATGTTTACCATCCTTCATAGATTGTACAATACTGGACTAAAAATCATTGCTTAATCTCGGCCTCGTTTATGGGTACTATAAATGCTCTTTTTTTTATTATTCAAAAAACGCTACCTCAATTTTCATCTATTTCCTTAAGCACCCCCTCAATTTCAACTCTGTTCTCATAAGCACCCCATTTGAATAAACGCCCCGTTTGGATAGGTGCCCCCCAAAAAGTGCAAAAAAAATTTTACCCGCCCGGGCACTTATTCACATGAGTACGGTATGTGAAAAATTATTGTACTGTGGGGGATAGGCAAATAACATTGGGAGTTGCAGTGATGAAGTAACGATTGACTTATAATGTTTATAATTATAATAACTTATTATTATATAGTTATTAATTATAATTATCAATTATTATTTATAATTTAATTACCATCTTCTTACCTTGATTGAATATTGACTAGTAGAAATGAAGGCGTATCTTTTAAGCCTTTAAATCAGTTGAATGTGTGTTTTCTGAAACTTATTTACAGGATGAAATTTTGATTGAATTCACTAATTGTGTCAAAAGGTACCATCCAATGTGCCACAAGATAGTGCTTGTTTTGGTCTTGTACAGCTTATAATAACTCTAGAATAAAAAACATAAATTGAAATCATTTATTGGGAAATCCAGAGGTGACGGAACTAGCGGGTGCTGCGTTATGGAGAGTAATGTGTGACCGGAGAAATGGTCTGCAGTCAGTTGGTTGTAATACCATGCGCCAGTGATGTAAAAGTACAGCATAATGAAACTATTTATGTAATGCATGTATAGAAGTTCGGGGTTTGTCGGGTAGTGAAATGGTTATTGTACATTTTAAGTGCTCCCTCCATGCATAAGTGTAAGCTAAATTACGGTGATTAATTAGCAAAGATATGGAGACCATTACTTCCAAGTTCCATTTTTCCAAAAGAGGATGCAAACTTTGTGGAAATGAGTATGGCACGGTACTCATTTACACAAAGGAATACATGCAACTGGGTAGCTAACAATATGCAAATGTCACATGAACACCTGCTAGGGAAGGTGCAATCACGTTCTGTTGCCTAGTAAGTTGCCTAGCAAACGTCTGTACTGTGGGGGGGGGGGTGAGGCCTAGCATACTGATGTACTGTGTAGCGGGGAACAATGAGGCATAATTAATAAGACTAGACCCAGGCCTAAGTAGACAGTGCAATTATATGTGATAGAAAGTACACTTTCGAAAGAAATAAATTAAAATAAGAAGGAAAAAAAATAACTAAGAATAATTCAGTTGCAGACATACCTTGTTTAAGTATTATACAATGCTAAAAATGCGGCTCCTGTAGCCCTAGCTAGGCAAGGCATCCATGTGCAAAGCAGTGGTGCTTGTTTATAAAATGAAAAAAGCACGCCGGGAAAGTTTGCCTTACCAGGAAAAGGTGACGTAATCTAGTTTATGACGTATGCATGCTAACTATAGCGTGAGTGTGACGTCACCAAAAAATAAAAATATTCTATTATAACCAAAATATTAATAACTACAAGGTTTGTGGGTGTAAATTCCCTTATTACGAATTAAGGGTAGCACCATCTCCTTGCCATACAAATTACAAATCCCACTGACATCTCAGTCGAGAAATACGGGTAGTTGAAGTTTTTATCGCAAATCTGACTACGAAAACATATCGAAATTTCACGGTCCACTACGGACTCTGAGTTGTGCTTCGCACACGCCGCTGAGGGCGGCGTTCCGGGAACCCTGCGTCCAGGGCAGTGGTGATGCCAGAGAGTGTTGATGTTGGCCCATACACACATACCTACTGTACATGTAAGCAAGTTTTATGAACTTGGCCTTTTACCTACAGTAATTCAAAATAGCAGCACACTCTCTTGGGGGCTTTACAAAAGCTTTTATAGACCGAATAGCACGAACACCATAATGTGGGATTGCCTATTATTGTAGTAAACCATAGACAGAAAGTGCAGCTATGAGCTTGCTAAAAAGTTTATATCAACATTATGTGCCTGACCTATTAACTCTAGCAGCATAATCTCTTTGGGGGGGGGGGTGCTTTTATAGACCAAATACACAAACTCCATAATGTTGTGGGATCGCCTATTATTGTAGTAAACCATAGATATAGCTGTACCACTGGAAAAATATTTTGTAAAAACTATGAGTTGCTTTAATGGAAATAAAGTGAGCCTGATAAATGTTTATATAAACATTACATGCCTGACCTACTGTACTATGACCTACTAACTCTATATTTTAGATAGCACACTAACCCTTAGTATCATATTGGTGCATAGCATGCTAACTGTACATAAATAAAACCTTGGTGTCTCCATTTGTCACCCCGACCTACTCAATACTCCCTCAACTAAAGTTGACAGGCTTCAACCTCGACTGAGTGCTTCAAAAAGGAGGCATGCCCAAGATGATATCGATCAGTCTCAAAAGACAGGTAAGCACTGCCAGCCCTTCATTTTCAAAATTCTTTATTCATCAACAAATTAGCTGCATTATAGATAAATTTATCAATAAAAGTTGGAATTTTAAACCTAAAACAAAACCAAATATACATTGCGAATGTACTTTTAAAATTGCTTTGAAACGTCTAATCTAAATTTCTAAATCTACCCAAGAAGTGACAATTTTAATTATACACAAATCCACATTCCTTATACTGTAGAAACCTAGATAGCTAAAGTTAAACTGCAAATGAAGAATCCCACACCGGTAAATTCACTTGCAGTGGGATTTAAAATTACAAGAAATGTTTCATTCTATGCATTTTACTATTTATAGCAATTCTTAATTATTCATAGATGGACAATAATATTGAGATGACCATTAAAAGTAATACAAAAAACATAAAGATTCTAAAAAATAATCATATTTAAACAAACATTTTAATTTAAAAAAATCAATAAGCATACATGATACATATGTTTATCACACTCTGAAATTCTTGTGTTGCCCACACCCAACCGAACCAAAAATCACAAAAAGCCAGAGTCGGCTTATATAATTCCCATTGCTGGTTTTGGCACCCATGAAATATAATCTTTTATTTGAAATATTTCAAATTTGTTAAAACTGATTTCAACAAGAAACAAACAGAACGAGGTACAAAACTAATCTAATAAATAGAGCACCCAATACTGCTCAAGATCTTATTTAGAATGTTTAGTAATCAAATTAATAAATTAAACTAAATAAATCAAATAAATAAATAAAATTTATTTCATAATTACATTTATTTTTATTTAATTAATCGTGGCATTGCAGGCATGATTAGCAACAGATGCAATATACAACTAAATTTGCCTTAGTAACAAAGTCTACAAGAAAAGGATTAGTAGTAATATATTTCTCTTTTTTTATTCTTGGAAGCATAAAACTTAGATTTAGTTCATCAACAATTTATTTCCTATCACCATCATCATTCTCATGTTCCAAATTGAATTATGCTGAATATTCATGTATGACTAGAAAGACTCTTCACACATGTGCAAATAATCAACAATAACATAATTGTAACATTATCTACTTATTATCTACAACGGTTGCCTCTCTCCACCCAGGAGTACAAGTGGGTACCTGGTAGGTTCGAACACAACTGCGCTGATTACTAGCTGCAATATTATGGAATTCTCCCCAGGGAGCTGAGTATGTGTTCCATATGTGTTTGATCCAATGACCGGGGTAGTAATGTGAAGCGCTTAGAGGCATTGTGCATGAAGCGCTATATAAGAGCGACATATTATTATTATTATTATTGTTTTAATATATTTTTTTCAAATAAATACCTAAACAATTTTAATTTAAGTATAACTCTGACGGTAAATTTACGTAGATTAGATCAATAGAAAATTCACATAGTAGTAATTTTTATCTATTCCTTAAGAATAATATTTTCAATCTTGTAATCAATTTTATATAGCCAGAGTTAGTTTCGACCTAGGCAAACCTTGCTAAAAAGGTACACTTACTGTACATATATTAGAAAATTGAAATTGTCCTCTTAATAGTGGTTTTTGGCATGTTGTTGACAACGATGACATAGATTCTTTATAATTTTAACTTAATTGACCTAAGAATGAATTCATAACAATAATTTGCAATGCAAAAAATAAATCATTTATGATAGGAAATCAACTGATACGTAATTAACTACAAAAGTTGTGTAGGCCTATGTTTCCGACTTCTTGATCCGAGTGTTATTAATGGTCAAATAATTCTTTTTTTCAAATATTGAACTTTCTATTGGATGTACAAGATAGAATAGCATGAATAGAGTAACGACTTAAGTAGAAGTCAGGGTGGAGCTGTACAGTATACATTAGCCTACAGTACTGGTATGTGAAAATACACAAAGCAAGAAATCCCCATGGTTAGTGGTGAAAATTGACAAGACTGTATTTATACGAAGTAGCACATTCTAAAGATTGAAAGTGAAAAAAGTTAAGTTTATTGCTCAAAAGTTGTCAAAATATAAATTTGAAAGATTTTTTTCTTATTGACAGACTACTGTAGTTATTTTGATACAATAACAAAATAAGTGTTCCCTTCATAGATGTTTAAATTGTCACTTAAACTTTGACAAAAATATTCATCCTATCAGGTATTAAAGTATATATGAAAATCCAATTTAAGGAAATGTATCTAGTAAAATAAGTAAAAGGATGGATAAAATAAATGACGAGTCTTTCTATGTTAGTCAATCATAAAATATCTACCATCTTTAAACCAAGCCTACTGTTTTACTTTATAGTAGAATGTGTTCTTCATTCAGACGGTACAGGATGTTTGCACTTTAAAAATCATTATTATTATTATTATTATTATTAATTTGAATCTTTAATTAATAAAACAATCATATTAAGTTCTTACCTTGTATCAACTGATATATGGTATGTTACAATGTAGGCCCGGCTGTGCTACTTGTGATCCGTTGAATGTGGGCGTTGCTGAAATGTGCAGGATATCAGATACAGGTATTGATTTTGAATTGTTTTGAGCATACAAAAGCGTGAATGTACCACAGATATCAAGATGGGATTGCTTGCACAGCTGATAGCTCTACAATCAGATAGCATATGCATTGAGCTTGCTTTCATAGGTCAAACAAGTACTGCACATACAAATATAGAAAAAGAAAAATGAAACTATAATACAATTATGATGTTTGTAGTGAATTTTTATTGATGACTTTGACCCAAGTGGCAAGATTTTCATTTTGCCATACACATTTTATTGTGTCGCATTTAAAGGCCAGTTGCACATCACATGTGCTCTTGTGCATGGGAATACTTGGGGTTTGCCTGTGCCTGTGTGTAGTATCAATGTTCGTGATTGCTCTTTGGCAATGGTATATCATAAACTTCATTCTCATCAAATTTCAGGTGACTTCAGCATGGAATTAATGCTGTATAGTCTCAATTTGAGACATAAGATGTGTCAGTCATGCGGAAAAAGGATGGTGTCTACTTCCCTTCGGCACCCTGGCATAATTTCAACTCTGTCAACTTTGCATAGACTTCAACCTGGACAGGGTGCTTGAGCTCCAACATTGTAACGACAGGTAAGCAGTGCCGACTGCTTAGACAGATTTTAGTGTATTATAAATATCAGGTCAAAGTTCAGGTCACAAATTCTGACTTGTGATGGGAACTTTGACCTGATATTTATAATACACTGAAATCTGTCAATTTTAAAAAAATCAGTTCACACTGAAGGAGTTAAGAAACAAAGTGTAAACTTTCTACTTACAATGATGATATGTGTATCTGTGTATTGGTATAAATTTCATAATTAATATTAAGTGTCCATGGAGTCATCCGGTCGGTTAAACTAGGGGGTTTTCTAGGGTCAATGGTCGTGCAACAATGTTCAGGACCCCATCATACCTTCATTATTGCTCTAATTACCTTCAAAATTTTTATATATGTAGTAGTATGGACATATTCATCACATGTTTACTTGAGTTATTTATACTGCTAAACTAATATTGCTCATCTATGTCTTAGCATCGTTTTTAAAAATTTTAAAATGAAAGCTGTTTCATCGCCAACCCCTTGGTTCATCCAGACTTCCCCATATCCATAATAAAACAAAAAAGACCTAATGCAATTTGCCTAGCAATCACTCTCGTTATCTTAACTGTTCCACATATGCATTATGTACTAATCTCTCTCTTTCCAGTTTTATAATTCTCAACCAGTATTTCATGATTCTTGTCAATCTTTTAGATATAGTTGTATGTCGACCCAGTTTGCCTTTAATTGCTGTAATCTCTGAATTTCTATTTTGTCCTAGTACAAATTTACAAAATTTAACATGGATCTTTTCAATGCTTTCACTCATTTTATAGCCCCAGACCTCACGCCTATATTCAAGAATAGATTTTAGTTTAATATAAAAAAAATTTAAAATAAATGTCAATTGATAAATTAACCATAGACTTTGCATTTGCCCGATTGCGTACATAGACGCCTGTTCTGCCAAGGTTTTTTGTGTAAGTGTAAGTCTAATGCAAATAGACACATGCACCTGGGTAATAAAAATCAAGGTTTACTGATATGAATACTTTTTATCATTTTCACCTTTTAGTTACGTGCACTAAGTGTCCTTTATGGAGCAAGCTTTCGCTCAGTTTTTGATTCTTGACCTGCAGTTTGATTAATGTCTTACAGCAGCGAGTTTTCTGACCTGTAATTGGCTGTATTAATAATAATGTCATTACGAACAACAAGGGAATATTAGTTTTAGATAAAGGCTAGGTTTGATAATGTTGCTAGGTTTGATAATGCTTATTTTTATTGGAAAAGTTTTTTTGGAACTTATGTCAATATATTCATGATTAAGAGCATGTAACCTACTGCAGTATTCACCTTATATTTGAGTTTTGCTCTCTTTTGCAAGAGTACACTTGGCTGACATTGACTAGTAATTTTTCCAGTAGACTTCACAGCTTAAGGTTAGTAATATGTTTGTGGTTATCATAATTTTAAAGGAAGAGAGATCACTATGGCTGTACAATTTTTAGACCACTAAACTTAATTTTACTTGTATTTTATTATTATTATTATTATTATTATTATTATTATTATTATTATTATTATTATCATTATTATTATTATTATTATTATTATTATTATTATTATCATCATTATTATTATTATCATTATTATTATTATCATTACTTTAAATGGCTCAGGAAAAGCACTCTTTAATGAATTGGTTTAGAACTGTCAACATAACAATGCGAATCATGAGATTGACCATCATCAAACATACAGTCAGTGATATACAAGTCAATACTTGCACCATATTTTAATTATTGCAATGTTGTGTGGGGACAATGCAATCAAACTCTACAATATAAAATTCAAATATTACGAAATAGGGCTGCTAAAATGATTACAAACGTCTCAAGATTTAATTGAAGTTCAGAAGCACTCACAAACTTAAACTGGAATAATCTAAATACCAAACTGTATCAAGATGAAGCTATAACCATGTTTAGAATAATGAATTCTCAAATGCCAGCTTATTTTTAAAACTCATTTGAAGAGTGCAATACATGAACAGGTCAGGATTTACATGAGGTAACCAAACCAAGTACTGAATATAAGAAAAGCATTTTTCCTATCAAGGAGCCATTGCCTGGAGTAACCTTAAAACCCCAATATGAGAATGGCCCTAAATGTTCATACTTTTTAAAAACTATTACACTATTACAAATAATATAAAGTTTCTAATTTGACTTATTGACTTTAAAGAATGATAAGATACAGGCCTCCATAAAAGCGAAAATCAATTTTCGCACAATGCTTCGGGGGATGTTGGGGGCACATAACATTCTAATAAAATATGCTACCCAAATTTCAGTGGTATATCCTCTTGGACCCCGAAATGTTCAACTCCTCTGTGAGACGGTTGCCTCCCCTGAGAATGGATCCTACGGCCATGACTAATTTGAAGTCAGCTGTACTTTGATTGTGCAATAAATGAGCGAGATGCTAGAGACTTGTGACTTCTGCTGTATTCTCACGATGTTTTAAACTCTGGAAATGTATACAAATCCATATTTATTTCCATTATCTTCATTTCATTGCATTTTAATATTTCAAAGCATTTGATCAATTTAATTTGCCTGCTTCAGTTGGTAAGGTTTAGTGCACTTTATAGTAAAGAAACAATTTGCTTGTGAATATCTGGAAGACTCTGATGAGAGTGATGTCTTGGTGACAAGCAAGACACCAGACAATGGTACAGTAATGTTATACCAGTATTATCATGATTGAAGTTTCATTTGGTTTGAGAATCTATTGGTAAAATATCTGAAAAAAAGATTGCATTGGCTGATTAATTAATTTTGGTGTGTACTTTGTTACTGCTCAGGTGTTTTAAAGATTTAAATTCAAAATGTCACAATAGTTTAATGTATAGATTTATAGATATTGTCTCTTGACATTTCAAATTTATAATTAAAAAGTGAAAATTGATTTATTTATTGATACCTGTAATGATAATAATTATAATAATAATAATAATAATGATAGTGTAGATTTGTATAAAATATGATGCTCATGGAGCTTGCTATGTGATCAATGACTTTCTTCCCAAGGGTCCCATTATTTCTGTGCTACCCAGTAATGCGATACCAGCAACTCTCGTCGTCCACCACTGGGTTTTCTGTACCATTACACCGGGATATCTCCCTACTTGTCTCGAATGATGTACTGAGCCATTCAGTACACTGGGCCTATGGTTTATAGTCCTTATCCAAGAAGGCTTGTTCTACCATCAGAACCACGATAGACGAGCGTGCCGTTCGACCAGCGCCAATACAATCAGCAGCGAAAACATGGACCAGGCCAATATGAACATATTTTTAAATATTAGTGAATAAAGTTTTGAGAGTGGCTCTCTAAAACAACAAAATTTTCATGTCATATCTTAATGTTTGTTTTTTATTTTTATAGGCAATTAATTTTAATTAATGAAAAACAATTTATTTCTTTATTACAGGAAAAACATCAAACAAATCACTCAGAAAAGAAAACCCATATGAAGACAATTGTACATGAGTGACGATGAGTTTTTTACAGCTCTGCTTAAACGGCCATCTTATCAATTTAGTAGATGAATTAAACTCACTCCCACGGAATTAGTAGTACTCCGAGTGCATCATTGTAGTGTTGCTGCATCAAAACTCATCGATTTTAGCTGTTGCCACAAACACACACAGTTAGAGGAGTCTAGAGTATCATTTACCAGCTTTAAGGTTTACAAATTTGTTTAGAATTCAGTATATTGTATAATTACCTGCGGTAGCCAGAGTGATGCCAGCATGGGGCCATGGAGGGGACAGATCACCGTTGGGGTAAAACAGATTTCATTGGGGGGAAAAAAAATTATATGTATTTTTAAAATCTGAGAGATACGAGCATGTACCTCCTTTTAACATAGTTTTATAGCTTAAAATCTAAGGGATACAGAGTGTCTGTACCTTCTTTGACGTTAGTTTTTTACCTTAAAATCTGAGAGATACAGTGTCTGTTCCTTCATTTACCACAGTTTTATAGCTTAAAATTTGAGGGATTGCCCTAGACAAAATTACCTACTGTAACGCTATCAGTTCAGTTTCTGAAGGTCCTTAATTTTGTCTTCAGATTTCTCTCAAAACAGGGAGTATTCATTTATAAAATGGATGTTTTGGTTATTTTAATCTTCATATTTTTAATGTACAGTAATCAATTGTACACATAAATTAATATCTACTTTTGGATGTTAAGTATCAGGCAAGTTAATCTGTGGGTTTGTAAATATTGAATAAGGTAATTGAACTAGATAATCTCAAAAATAATGTGCTCTACAGTACTTATTGTGGTTGAAATATACATTTTTTCTATATATTGTTTTATATATTGTATTGATGCTATGAAAATGATGATAAAACAATGTTAATAAAAACATAATGAGTATTTTCAGGAACCGTCATAATGTACAAATCAACCTTAAAGTGAAAATAGCTAAATTTCGGCAAAAATGCGAAGGAGCTGGTTTTGACTACACAATTGGGCAATTTTTACTCTGCCATTTTCAGATTGTTTTGTGTTCTGGCACGGGTCAGAAAATACTATCTATGCTTCAAAATGCCACTTAAATCCTACTTTTAAGGCATTATTAAGTATATAGGCATAATTACAGTATAATTTGTGTTGGGAGGTCATATTTATCAAACAACCTCAGAAATTAGAATTCACAAACCATGTTCTATATTTTATGCAATCCGCACAAGTTTATCACTTCACAATGGCATAACTACTGCAGGTTCAAACGGTTCATTGAACCAGGGCCCCTGATCTCCAGGGTCCCCCGATCTGTAAGTGCCTGTCCCCTTATAAAATATCGAATAAAACAATGCATAGTTAAACATCTGTATTTATAGTATTTATCTTTATACTGCATGTACTCTTGAACCAAGGCCCCTCAGAACCTAGTTGCACCACTGTCACTGCCTCCTCATACTGTACCTTCAGAAATACTTCATGCTAAGTTAAAATCACAATCTCATAGCTTACCCATCAACACCAGTAGGCCTACATAGTTAGATTTTTGAAGGATGGTAAAATTTAAGCTTTAATTATAATACTGTATGTTTTTTTTTTTCCTTTTGGATTTTAACTTTCATTTTTTGTGTACAGTTTACAACCTTACACAACCTTACACGTAAAGTGATATGTAATTTTGTTGGATATTAGGAAATTTTAATTTGTATCACATGTGCAAAACTATATTAGTCTTTAAAAGTATGCAAAGTACATCAAGAATAGGCTTGTAATTATATTGATTGCCAACAAAGTAGGCCTATGTTTTTATTCTCTATGTTTAAAACAATTAATATTTACTATTGCATTTTGATGCCAAGAGAACTAATGGCAAGTGGTTGAATATTGACAATTTTTATTAAAATAAATAGACAACCGACCGATCAAAACAGTCCAGGAATAAGCACGTGTATCACAAAAGTTTCCTATGAAGGAGAGATGTAAAAATGATCCTACAAGCGCACATTGTTTGCTTTTACACTGTCGTTTTTCTGGGGCAGATCCAGAGATGTCCGAAATTGGGGCTGATCGAGGCAACACTAACGTTCGAGGGTCCTGGGACATGCCCAATTGAAAGCATCATTTTCCAGACGCCCAAAAATAACCTCTGATGCATTTTGGTCGATCAGTTTTTTTTTCACTTTCCAAAAGGAGGGACTAGGGCCAGCCACAATGTTCAAGAGGCGGGGCGTAGCGGGAAGGTCCATTATGTAGAGGGGATTGGGGTTGTAGCTCGTGATTGAAACTTGCCTCCAATCCTAATTCTTATTAATTATTTTCTTCTCATAAGACAACTTCACTCCCTGTAACGCTGTAATTAATCAGATTAATAGAACTAATATAAAGCAAGGATACCAATGCGCAGTCGTGGATCTACGGGGTGAATAATATGCTGCCATCCCCCTTCGTTTACCGTGAAAAAAAAAATGACCACTCGTCTTGTGTGTCTGCTTGTCCAGTGGCAAATCCAGGAATTTGAAGTAGAGGGGGCCCAGAAAGGGACTTTCAAAGCCCCACCATTGTTGCCATTTTCCAGTTTTTACTTTTTTTTGGACGATTTTTTTTACCCCGCCATTTTCCAGTATTTTGGTATTCCATGACACTGACAGATCACTAGAGTCCTCTGCAGGTTGATAAATGATACTTCAAGCCTAGCTTTAAGCTTAAATAACGATAAATCGGATGGTACTCAATTAGGCCCATGTGGCCGAATCTGGGAAAAACAACCAGGTTAAAAATTGGCCAATTTTGGTAAAAACCATGAGCTATAGCCCATACTTTTTTTTGAACGATTTTTTTTACCCCGCCATTTTCCAGTTGTTTCGTATTCAATTACACCTACAGATCACAAGAGTCCTCTGCAGGTTGATAAATGCCACTTCAAGCCTAGTTTTAAGCTTAAATAACGATAAATCGGATGACTCTCTGTAGTTATTCGGGGCTTAGACCTGTCTCTTATACACATCTAGATGTGTATAAGAGACAGATATATTACCTTAGTCCAATCTAGCAATGATGCCCCAAAGCCAAATTTTTTTAGAGTTTTAAATATCAGGTTTCTATCTATTGAATCAAAAGCTTTTGCAAAGTCTAAAAATATCATTCCATCTGGTTTATTCTTATCGCTTGTGTAAGAAAGTATGTCTTCTACTAATCTTACATTTTCCCCTCCAAAACTACCATTTATATAACCTTTCTCATGGGCCATTATTTTGTAATCTACTTTGAGTAGGGTGATTGGTCTCCAGTTCTCTAATTTTTCTCTTTGACCATTTTTAAATATTAAGTTAATAATGCCCGTTATTTGTGTGTTTGTTAATTTCTTGTTTTCGTAATTATGATTTAAAGAATTGCATAAAATGTCTTTAATGTAATCCCAGAATGTTCGATAAAATTCTACACTCAAGCCATCAGATCCTGGACTTTTATTGAGTTGCATTTTAAAAACTGTATTGTAAGTTCATCAACTGTTATTAAACCTTCACATTTAGTACTTTACTCCTTTGAAAGTTTTATAACTCTTGATTTTTCTAGATATTTATCAATCATTCTTTATCTGAATACAAGTATGTATAGAAATTAACTTGTTCTTTTAATATTTCGTCTTTATCTGATGTGTATTTTCCATTGTTTTTTAGTATCGTGGTAATATGTTTTCTTTTTGCTTTATTTTTCTCTAACCCTAAAGAGAATTCATTGTTTTTTCACCTTTTTCAAACCATTTTGTTCTAGATTGAATTTTTGCTCCTAGTGCCTCAATCGAGTATATCTAATCTAAGTCTTTTATTTTATTTATTAATTGTCTATCGGTTTCTTCATCGTAAACACCATCTAGTTTGTTGGTTAGTTCATTCACTTCTTTAAGTAGTTTTTCTTTATTATTGTTTCTCTTCCGTTTTTTTTCAACACCATATTTACAAGAAAATTCTTTAATTTTTACCTTTAAGTTTCATTTCATTATTTATTTGGTCATTTACAACAACAACAAAAAAAAGCTGAAATTTGGGGAGACCAGGGACAACCTGAGTGAACCAAATCACTGTAGCAAAGCTGGTTTACCCAACACATTAAAACATCAAACATTACAGCAAATCAAATTACAAACCTTACGAAGAAAAGAGGATGGGCTTTCTAAAACTGCAGCATCATTTAACAATCTAGGGAGATGGTCCCAGGCACGAGGCAAACTGATGGCTATCGAGTTGAAAAATACTTGGGTGCTTGGTGACGGAAACACAAGCGATCATTATGTCTGGTATTGATTTTGATACCATCATAAACCGTGCTGCAGTTTAGAAGGCCCAACAGAACTTTAAAGCAAAAAATAATAAAGCAGTTTGTCCTTTCTGACAGACAAAGATGAAAAAGAAAGCAAATGTAACCTCTCTTCAAAGCTCATCTGTCCTCGATGTTGTTTAAGAGAAAAACGAATTGCTCTTCTATGGACTCCCTCAAGCAGATCTGACAAAGTTTTAGTCCATGGAAACCAGGCGGGTTGAGCATACTCCAGGCCTGGCAATACAAGGCTTTTGTAGAGAGACAAAATGCACTGGTCGAAACATATCCAGCCACACTCCAAACAAAACCAAGCATACGCTTTTGGAAACAATGGCATGGACATGGTCCGCCCAGATCAATTTTGAGTTGAAAGTAACACCAAGGTTTATTAAATGGTGGTCACCGGTCTAATAAGAGAGCCAGACAAGAAATAGGACTGTCTCTTATACACATCTAGATGTGTATAAGAGACAGGATCACTAGAGTCCTCTGCAGGTTGATAAATGCCACTTAAAGCTTATAGTTTTAAGATTAAACAACTATAAATCGGATGGTACTCAATTAGGCCCATGTGGCCGAATTTGGGAAAAACAACCAGGTTAAAAATTGGCCAATTTTGGTAAAAACCATGAGCTATAGCCCATACTTTTTTTTGGACGATTTTTTTTACCCCGCCATTTTCCAGTTGTTTCGTATTCCATGACACTTACAGATCACGCAGTTGATAAATGCCACTTCAAGCCTAGTTTTAAGCTTAAATAACGATAAATCGGATGATACTCAATTAGGCCCATGTGGCCGAATCTGGGAAAAACAGCCAGGTTAAAAATTGGCCAATTTTGGTAAAAACCATGAGCTATATATAAGCCCATACTTTTTTTTGGACGATTTTTTTGACCCCGCCATTTTCCAGTTTTTTCGTATTCCATGACACTTACAGATCACAAGAGTCCTCTGCAGGTTGATAAATGCCACTTAAAGCCTAGTTTTAAGCTTAAATAACGATAAATCGGATGATACTCAATTAGGCCCATGTGGCCGAATCTGGGAAAAACAACCTAGTTAAAAATTGGCCAATTTTGGTAAAATCCATGAGCTATAAGCCCATACTTTTTTTGGACGATTTTTTTTTACCCCGCCATTTTCCAGTTGTTTCGTATTCAATGACACCTACAGATCACTGAGTCCTCTGCAGGTTGATAAATGCCACTTCAAGCCTAGTTTTAAGCTTAAATAACGATAAATCGAATGGTACTCAATTAGGCCCATGTGGCCGAATCTGGGAAAAACAACCAGGTTAAAAATTGGCCAATTTTGGTAAAAACCATGAGCTATAGCCCATACTTTTTTTTGGACGATTTTTTTGACCCCGCCATTTTCCAGTTGTTTCGTATTCAATGACACCTACAGATCACAAGAGTCCTCTGCAGGTTAATAAATGCCACTTCAAGCCTAGTTTTAAGCTTAAATAACGATAAATCGGATGGTACTCAATTAGGCCCATGTGGCCGAATCTGGGAAAAACAACCAGGTTAAAAATTGGCTAATTTTGGTAAAAACCATGAGCTATAGCCCATACTTTTTTTTTGGACGATTTTTTTGACCCCGCCATTTTCCAGTTGTTTCATATTCAGTTACACCTACAGATCACAAGAGTCTTCAGCAGGTTGATAAATGCCAATTAAAGCTTAGTTTTAAGCTTAAATAACGATAAATCGGATGATACTCAATTAGGCCCATGTGGCTGAATCTGGGAAAAACAGCCAAGTTAAAAATTGGCCAATTTACTTTTTTTGTATAATTTTTTTGACCCCGCCATTTTCCCGTTTTTTTCGTATTCCATGACACCTACAGATCACAAGAGTCCTCTGCAGGTTGATAAATGCCACTTAAAGCCTAGTGTTATGCTTAAATAACGATAAATCGGATGATACTCAATTAGGCCCATGTGGCCGAATATGGGAAAAACAACCTAGTCAAAAATTGGCCAATTTTGGTAAAAACCATGAGCTATAGCCCATACTTTTTTTTGTATAATTTTTTTTACCCCGCCATTTTCCAGTTTTTTCGTATTCCATGACACCTAGAGATCACAAG